GGCGACTACGCTCACCGCTTCCTGCACCTCAAAAATAAGACCTCCCCGAAAATAAGACCTCTCCAATAATATTGCAACACAGCAGCAGCCATGAGGCGACTACGCTCACCGCTTCCTGCACCTCAAAAATAAGACCTCCCCGAAAATAAGGCCAATAACTTATTTCAGGGGTCAAAAGAAAATAAGAGACTGTCTTATTTTCGGGAAAATATGGTAAACAGATTTCCAATGTCTATGCCAATATATCCAACGTCTCCAATCAAAGACAGTTTGAACTAAAGATATGAGTCAGGGATTTTGCCATCACTTATTTCTTCTTCTGTATCAGCTCCATCTTTTTCTGTCACTTCTTTGTTACAGTTTCCTTCCCTGCTTTGAAGTTAATCAAATATGAATTAATGAGAAGACCGCACAAGAGGAAAAATGCAATTACCTGAATTCCAGTTCACGAAGGTCAATGGAGTATGATCTGACCACTGCCAGCCTCCAGAAACATCCAACTGATTTAATCCAATCCAAAATATTTCTGCAATTCCATCTTTATCTAAAGAATTTTAAACAAAGATGACAACAGAACATTTTCAAGCCAATTAATTCATAGATGGGATTTACCTACTACAGTAAAACCAAACAAAAACCAAACAAAACAAATCTTTATCCTTTGTCTCTGAGCCCATCTGCAGTATGCTGGCACTCAACCACAATATTATACTCCAAGACAACAACCTATATTTTTATTGTCTTGTGTATGGTATATGGAATGTGTTTGCACAAAAACACGAGCATGTAGGTGTCTATGAAAAAAGAACAAATGATAAAAAATGCCAGTCCTTTTTAAAAAATAAATAAATCTCTGAATTGTTTTGAATGTGAAGCTACGATATAATGCAGCTCATTTATTTTTGGCTTAGAATGGATATCTAAAATTGCAAATTACTTACTTAACAAACGAATGCTATCATAATCCTGGTTTAATGTTATATGGCAGTGATGGCAAACCTTTTCAGCACTGAGTGCCCAAACCAGAACGTGCACACATGCGTGCACAGGAAACCCGAAGACCAGCAGGCTGGGACGCATCCGTGCCACAACCAGCTGCTCTTCTGGTTTCCGAGGCACACGTGTGCATTGGCCATCTGGTCTTCACGCAAGCCGGAAACATGAAGACCAGCTGGAGAGGGCACGCGTGCCCGCAGAGAGGGCTCTGTGCCATCATGGTTATATGGTATGCAACCAACGTTAATTTTAATTTTATTTAAATATAATCAGTACCATGTACTTCTCCAGTGCAGTCTGAGTGGGGATTAACACCCAGTGGAAATACTAGAACTGTAATGGTTCAGATATTACATCTTGAAGACTTATTTTAAATGACATTTTCTTCTTAGAATGCATTATTTCTTCAGAGAAAAGGGAACAATCAAGGAACTAGAAGCTATTGCTTATGAAGAGGGACCGGGAAAGATTAATCTTGCAGAGACCAGGGGGAAGGGAGATATAATAATATTTTTCAAATACCTCCAAGGCTATTATACAGTACAAGGTTATGATCATCTGTTTACCATTCCAGAGGGCAGAACATAGTATAATGGCACAGGAAGTTACAGGAAAACACATTCTAGGGGAATGTTATGAAAGAAATCTTCCTAATTGTGGAAGCAGTTTGGCAGAGATATGCTGGGCTTTGCTTCAGCAAATAGGTTCAAGCAGGGGTTGGACCGCCATTTGTCTTGAATGCTTTAATTAGGATTCATGGACTGATCACAGCTGGACTCAAATCTTAAATGGCCTCTTCCAACTCTGCATTTTGTAGATTTAATATCTACTCAACCTCTGCACTGCTGTTATTCTTGGCAAATTGCAGTTTGCCTAAATATCCTTCCTAAATAATGAAATATGTGGCGTGGGACAGGAAATGTTTCAACAAGCTGCTTTTAATGTGTATTCCCCATTGTGTGCTAGCTTACACTCTTGCAATCCCTTCCATCTGTCTGCTGTCCAAGGGAGGAGGGAAGAAAAAGAACAGGTCAGGCACAGAACAATGCATACGGACTAATGGTGATTAGTGGCATAGGGACACTGCAAAGGTCATAAATGCAGACCAGTGGTCATAAAGTTTTTTCAGTATTGTTGTAATTTTGAATGGTTGCTGAATTAGGCAGTCCATAAAGCAAGGATTATGTATTAGTGTTATTTTGATTGCATACTGCCTGGCTCTCAATGACTAGGCTGATTATTAATATTATGATTTCAGCCAAAGGTTTTTTTTAAATCATCACTCAACAACATATTGAGCATCAAATCTGGAAACCAGGAAAAATGTTCTGTCCTGTAAGCCATGAAATGTGGTAGCCTGATTCCATCTTGAAATATATCCACTTATTTTTTTTCATTTGCTTTCCTCTACAAATCAGTACAAAGTTGTAGATAATTTATTGACTATATCAAAATATAAAACAAAAATAAAATACAGGATACAATTCCAGGGTAAAATATATAAAGAGAAAATATAGCAATGAAGTACATATGTGGTAAATAGAAAGAAACAGCATTCAGATAAACACATCTTTACATGATACTCCATCTGTTCAATGTAACAGGTTCTAATTGCCTTGAGATAGTCTATAAAACATTCTGATCACAATATATACATTGGAGCCCAGGAGGGAAATAGGACAAGCAGTGATTCAAGTCCCAATGGGTTTTTCTTTCAAATGGGGATATAAAATATCTAAGCCTAAGAGGGACTCAGAGTTGACAATCAAACACAACATGATCAATATCTTTGATGTATGTATGTATGTATGTATGTATGTATGTATGTATGTATGTATGTATGTATGTATGTACGTATTACTCTAGAACAGGCTTCTTGAGAATTGGGCCAAACTCCCCTGACAAATATTTTTCAAACTGAAAAATAGTTTTGTTTTTAACTAACAAACTTAAACATCTATTTACTGTCAAGAACTCCATATCAGTTTCAGCGCTGATATCTAGGACTCCCTGTTAAAAATCTCCCTTACGTAGGACACAGTTGAGAGTAAATATTGGGGAGAAAACCCAGCTGTGAAATAATGTTGGTAAATCGGCATGCACAGGAATTGGGCCGAACCATACTTGTCTGTTCCGCCAAAAGTATTTTCGATAGTCTATCAGGGTCCATTAAATGGATCCTCAGTCAATATGTGATAACTTTAACTATTAGTAGGCTACATATGGTTTCTGTTCTGACTGAAGGAGCTGACACCTTATCAGTTCCCAGTATACTTCTTTAAAAATGTGTCTGAACTTGTTCAACTGAAGTAGCTTTTCTAAGATCCATAACTCAGCATTGGGACCATTTTTGTCTCGAATAAGTAAAGGCGAAGGACTGTGGGAGTGCTTGCAGCAGGCACAACTTTGAAATGGATCACAAGCAGAGGTGGGTTGCTACGGTTTGCACCGGTTCGAGTGAACTGGTAGTGGAAATTGGGATTGGGTTGCCGAACTGGTAGGGAAGGCAGGCTGGCCACACCCATGAACTGGCTCCCCAATCCCCACTGCCGGCTTGTTTTTTAGTCATTTTTTCATGTACTGCGCACATGCGCACAGTGCACATCTGGTGTGCGTGTGAAGCGAGCGCAAAACAAACTGGCAGCAACCCACTCCTGATCACAAGTAATTTTTTTTTGGGGGGGGGGGAAGGTCTGTTGTAACTTCAAATGGCTGCTAAGTGGTCAGTTGTTAAATAAGAAATCCCTGTAACTCAGTCTAAGGTCATCCAAGGTAGCCCACCAAGATTAGGCTTGCATCTTACTGCCTCTTGTCTGTCACCCTCTATTTTATTTCTGTCACTTACAGTTTCTGTACAGTGTCATGTTTTATCAGAGAGAAGAGGGAGTAAGGTAGAAACACCAACAAGGACTCTTTGTTGTTCTCTTCCACATCTATATCCCATGTTGAAATAGGGCATGAAGCAGCAGACAGTTTCTCAAAATAGGTATTATTTTCATGGGCACTTGGCGTGACCAGTTCTTTTGGAGGTTTAACAGCATTGCAGGGTCGTTGCTAATTCCCCCAGATCACCAAAGCTTTTTTACAATACCCACTTGTTCAGTATCTGACAGAGTACTGAAAGAGTTAATCAAATTTATCTCTAAGGCTTCTTCAGAAAACTGACTTGATATGGGAGGTTCAGATTATTTATTCAGGCTCTCTCTTCTCAAGGACTGTGATAAAACGTCCTTGGAGTTACCAACTTTTATGCTATAATTAAAACTTTAAAGTAGAAGCTCTCTTATTGCCAATATTACTTTAATGGGCCAACTCCCTCAGCGTGAAACACATATAATTGGAAGATCTCAAACCTCCTCAGAAAAGGGTTTATTTTGAACAACATGCTGGCAATTGTGGGGTGTTTGAATGAAAGCATTCAAAGACTCTGGTGGATAGGGGCCATTCAACTTTTGCAGATCAACCAACTGCTTTTCACAATAGAAGCTGACTGCACAGTCCTTTGGATACAGACTTAGATCTCTTAGCTTATTCCTCACTCTCTTTTTAGGTTCCAAATTAGGATCCACCTTTCTGGCACTATTATCTGCTTTTAAGTGGCAATTGTCTCTGCATGAGCTTGTTTTAACGGAGTCGGCAGCATCTATCTTGAAATCAATCCACTTACTTCTCATTAGCCACCAACAGCTTTCCTCTAGAATGCATTATAAAGTTGTACTTACTTTTGATATCATGTAACTGGAATGCACTTGTGATGCTGACCAAATCACTCCCTTGCTTCTTACATGAGAGGTATGCTGCTTTCCAAGAAAGGGCAGCCTGTGTGTTTAACTGGTAACAATTTCTAGAATCTTTAGACTCTTCCCATGTATTTTGACAGCCATCCTCTGTGGAAGACAAGTATTCATATCTGAGATCTACAGGTACCATAACCATAATCTAGAACATGTCAACATGTTGCCTTATCTACTTAATCTACTTAATATGAGAGTAAATATTAATATACACGTATTATTTTAATCTTCAATATTGGCATTCAATTTCTATTCTCTGTGCCATACAGACTACAAATGAGATAGACTGGGATCTAGATCCAGCCTTCCAATTCCCCGCCTGCCCCGCCCACATTTCTTCTTGTGCTGTCTGCAACATGTTTGTAGAATGCATGAGAAAAACCAGGATCCACTAAAATTATGAGGGCAAAAACTCACAAGGAAGAAGCATATATCAATTAGGTTCTAGGTTTAAGGTGAAACTACATTTTTTGAACATGTTTTTATAACACAAACTGGAACCTCAGGCAAATAATTTTAATACCTTAATTTATATAATTATGACTGCTTATAATGCAACAATGCTATTTAATCAATAGAAAGCTATTATTAGATGTGAAGCTCTGTTTATCCTTTTTCTCATGAAGTACCAAAATATATAATATGCATTAATACAACATTAATTTTTCAGGATACTATTTTAGGAAAGCGACTTGCCTCTTTTTAAGCAGAAGCCCCATTGTCCGTCTTGATTGAAGTAAGTAGTTGTGGAACACCAATTACCTTCTGGATTCTTCTCATTGTGAATGCAATCATGATACCATGTATTATTAAGTAAGAAAGGAAATGCACAAGGTTTTCCATAAGCATTCCCATCCCTGGTATAACTTTCTGCATCAAAGAAATCAAAACAGATTTTTTAAAATCTGAAAATTAGTGTATTTGGTGTAAAATAAACATATTTTTAAATTATTACTTTAAGACCTGTATGACTGCAGGAAGAATCATGTATTCACAGATCTTAAGTTACATTAGATAGAGCCAACAATACATGGAGCCAGAGGTAATCAATAGTTAAAAAAAACACCTAGTGTCAAAATCACAAGGTGATGGTCTGAATATATACAACTTGAGGAACAATACAAATGGTATCTTCTGGAGACCAGCAGGCTTCCAGTTGAGTACCAGAGTGTTCACACAGGAGGCTTTCTCATGTTTTCCAAAGGAAACATTATTTTCTTCCTAAATTGCCTTGATTTAGCTTCAATTAGCTCAATAACAGGGTAGCAATATAGTGGTGGCTGTACTGTGAAAACAGGAGTTCAATGAATCATCAGTGGTCCATCTTTGATCTAGGACAGAAGTCTTCAGGCCGTGGTCTATGGACTGGCACCGGTCCATGGCATGGCAGCAACCAATCCACACAAACAGGTGAACCCCATCCGCGGGATGCAGGCAGCATGCAAAGCCACACCCCCTCAGGTGAAACATTTTCCATAGAACTAGTTCCTGCTTCCCAAAAGGTTGGGGGCCACCGATCTAGGGTATGAAGCTTGAGTACATGATTTCTTGTCTTAGAAATATAGATTGACGTATATGTGTCAATTTCTACAGATGTTTGAATTGCCGGTTTTAAAAAGATCTTACTTCAAGTTTGTAGGAGAACTTTTATAACCGCCAATGCACAAGCTAATAGATTAACTTTGCAAGGAGACTATGCCTTATTCACAAGGGAAAGTTGAAAAAAAGGAACAGGCTTCAAAATTACTAGCAAAAGCAAGTCATCTCCACATTTTTAATGCCAAAGCAATATGTTGATGCAAACTTCTTGCCTCCTCAGCTTTCATAACTTACTTGCATACCAAGCTTTCAATACTGTTCTCATGCTAATTAGAATATACTGTTGTATTGTAAAGAGCTACCTGTTATTGCAATGAAAATTTTGTGCTGGAAATTCTTTAAAAAAAATGGAAATGAGGTCCCAGTCTAATGCTTGTTTGTTTTCAATATAGTCAATACTTTCGGATATATATTCATTTATCTTTTCTGTATCTTCTTTGCTCAAAGTAATATAAGTAAGAAGTAAAAACATGTAGCCATATTTCTTATCCATGCAGAAAGTGGGGAAACAATCTGCCCAAGGAAAAAAAAGTTTCAAAATCATAGCACTGGGGAGAGCAATCTGAGTCTCTTCAGATGCTGCTAAACTACAGTTCCCAGCAGCTGAAGCTAATTCAGCTACATCTTCATTGATTTGTGTATTATGTTCTTTCTTGTGTTCACTGCCTAGAGCTTCATTAGCAGATGGTATAAATCTGATCACTAGATAGTAGATAACATCTTGGAGGACTAGATAGCTAGGTAATACTATTGATATATAACCTGGTTACATCTGGAGGATCTGAAGTTCCCTTTGGGTTTTAACTTTTAAGGTTGACATGACGCACCAGATTGGCAAATGAGATTGTAACTTTCAGCAAAACAACTTTTGATGGATGCAATGAAAATAAAACGGATCATTGTTACAAGATTTGTTTGGCTATCCTTGCTGGCTTTCTAACAGAAGAAGGGCATTCTTCAGAATTATTAAATACAAAATATAGGAAATATATGATAATTCAGAATGATTTATCTTGAGTGGGGTGTTAGTATTTTAATTGTCCTGATTCTTTTGCTATTACTGTGGTGAATATCGAGCAGATACAGGGCAAACTTTCTGACTCTAAGGGCTGCACATGATACTGATGAAAGCTGTCTTTGTTGGGTTGGAGAACAGGCATCTCTTCATACCAGCCATGAAAAACTGTACAATATTCTCATGTGAAGTGAACGGACAAACCAAATCCCTGAGAAATTAAAGACTGTCCTCTGATAATCCCAGCAGAGATTACTAACTTGGCTTTGTTAATGGCCTAATCCACAAAGCCACAAAACCACAGATAAATGTACCGTACCACATTTAATAAAGAAAAATAAAATAAATACATTACTCCGCTGCCCTGCTGAAGAAGAAATTGGGGCTGGTTTTGAAAGCTCAGAAAGGAACCAGGAAGAACATTGTACTAAATAATTGTACTAGCAGGACTTCAGCCCCTGTAGATAAAAATAGCCTGAACTGGCTGAGGGTTAGGCTAGATCAGGATAAAAGGCCTGTGAATATGGGATCTCTGGTGAATTTGTTGTAATAATTATAATTGATTTGTACAGCTGTTTAAATCTATTTAGATCTGTTAAACTGAAATCTAAAAAAACCCAAGAAAGTTCCTGTCCATGACCTTATAATTTCATAAACTTTATAATAAAAGGTCTACAGGATGGGTGGAGGAAAGGAAAAAGAGAAAAACAAATACGTTCATTCATAGTTATGTAAACACAAATATGGCTAGAAACAACTGTGTGATACAGACCTCGTCAACCAAGTAGCTCCACAGAACAAGGCAGAAATACAAAAGATCCCTTGAGGTAAATTTCCATTTGATTGTTTAGACATGCCCAGTGTTTAATACAGCGAGAAGAAGACAGAGTGGTTTTGTATTCTAAAGACTAGTGGAGCTCCAAGTTTTCTGTGCAATACCCATTGAAAGGATAGCTAAAAATAAGTTTGTAGGACTTCCCCAGAGTTCCTTCAATTTGAAAATAATTTTATTGGCATTCAAATTAGATACAGCGAGAGCGGTGATTTCATTGTTATGGTAATCCCCCATTTCTTAAAAATGATTAAATTTAAAGCTTTATCCTCTGCAAAAGTGGTGGTGGGGGAGGTTTAATCAAAAGGGAAGTTCAGAAAATTTCACTTCCACTTTGGATTAACCCTGGTCTCTTACATCACCATTTCACCTGGTCAGTTAAAAAAAAAGAACTCCTACAATTCTGTTCTCCAGCTCAACACTTTTAGTGTTAAATGAACTTGAAGGATCTTGAGAAGTAGAGAAATTGGGCAGGGGAGCACTTGAACCAGAGGTGGTATTCAGCAGGTCCTGACCAGTTCTGGAGAACCGGTAGCAGAAATTTTGAGTAGTTTGGAGAACCAGAAAATAGGCTGGCCCTGCACTCACTGCCTCCCAGCTGATCTTCTTTTGTTGCCCTGAACAGGAGAATGGGGATTTTGTAGTATTCTTCCCCTGCCACACCCACAAAGCCATGCCCCCAGAACCAGTAGTAAAAATTTTTGAATTCCACCACTGAAGTTAGACCATGGACAGGAATGTCTGAATTCCAGTTCATCACATGAGTGTTAATTAAGATTACTGGTGCTTAGTCGTCATTTGATGCCACATTCAACTGAGGATATCCCCTTTCTTTTGAACGCCTTGGAAGTCAGCATTTAACCATATTCTGTTTAAAACCATTCTTTCCCTTTCTATAAATCAAAGAAAATACATACCGCTATATGGAAATTTACAAATTGTATCACTGGAATTGCTTCTTCTCCAAGCATCAGAAGAGCTTAGGTTTACAGTGAGGATTCCATTCTTTAATGTTAGTTTGTTCTGAGCCGTTGAAAGGATGGAGTCACCAACACAGCGCCACCACAGATTGAGATCTGAGTCACAAGCAAACATTTTTAAGGTATTTGTAGACTTGACAGTCTCCAGTCCAAGGCACTTTTGGGATCCCAAATTAAAAAGGCGATGTTGAGAGACCCAGGTCCATAAGTTCTCATCTGTCTCCTCACAATCTCCTAATATTAGACTCTGGCTTTTAACTTGGATGCACTTATTAGAGTTTTCATGCCGGATGGTGAAAAGATTGTTTTCTGCATGAAGAAAAGAACATATTTCAATGATTTTTCTGTTCTAACTTTTAGTAGAAACAAAGATAATACTGAAAGATTATGTAGGAAATACATACACTGAAACGCACTATCAACATTCAGTTCCATAACAGAACATCTTAATAATTACTGAAAATACCTGTGTCTATTTATATACCTACAACAGTATTCTCTAAGCAGCAACAACATTGCGTATAGTTGTTGAAAGATTAAAAAAGCAACATGATCTCAGAAGCAAATAAAGCAATATTTAAAGATAGGCAACATCCATTTTAGTATCACTGTGTGCTCAATGTTTAGGAGGCCTGGAATAACAACAACATCAACAACAACAAAGAGATTATAAGAAAAGTGTTAGCATCTCTGTGAAAGGTGGGATAACACCTCTGTCCTTTTCCCTTGCAAAAATTCAGATGATCAATAGATGGCAGTAAAGAGGCATCAAACATTTTAGTTGTTTGCCCACTAGATGTAACCTGGATATTTGAAAGCTAAAAGTGGTATAATCTTGTGTGATCTACCCACATATCTGTTGAAAGGAGCATTCAAAGGAGGCCTGTAAATATGACAAGATTTTTCTAATAGCTTAGTGGAAAATTGTTATGAAAACCAAAAAATGGAGTGGAAGCTAGTAAAGATGATAAAATAAAGCTAAGCAGGTGGTCCTCATTTAACAACCCCTCGTTCAATTGACTTTTCAAATTTGTAATTTTGCTGAACGAATAGTCACACCACCACAATCCAGACAATCAGTTTGCAATTATGACTTTGCAGTATCCTGTAATGATGTGATCTCCAGTTGTGGCTTTCTTTGGTGGCTTCCAAAAGTGAAGGGGAAGCTAGCAGGAGATCAAAAATGACAACCATGTGATGTCCTCAATGATTCCTTTAACAGTAGCAATTGAAAATGCTGGTCCAAACTGCTGACATTAAATGGAGACTATGTTCAGCTATGTTCTGGAGTTCTTTGGAAGACGTTCTCAGAAAAAACTCCATGTATAATATATTGTCTAATCCAAACAGAGTTCACATAATGATGTTTAGTGTATCAAGTCAAATAAAAGGAATGAGAGGACACTTGATGCTGTTAGCTTAATAAGACTCCCCAGTGGATTAACCTAGTCCTTTATACTTTAGGTGAATTCATGGCCATGTCCATTTGATTTTCTTCATAGTAATGCTATGAAGAACTGGTGGACTTTTCTAGTTTAATGCGCAATTTTCTAGTACACCCTTTTATTGCATTCCCAGTGTTGTTTAGATTAAACCAGTTTATTAGCCTTTATCCAATCTTTATGGGTGTAATCCTAAATATTTACACTTTAACCTATTAATTAGAAGCATGTTCCATTGAACCAACAGATATTATTGCTATGTAAATGTATCCTCAGTAGAAATATAAGATTTATTATACATCTGGTGCAAGCTTAATTAGTGCATAATTTATTAAAGAAATACTGGAATAAAATTATCTGTAAAATGAATTAAATTTCTGGTTTGAAATTATGATCTATGTTCATATATTTATATGCTAATATTTTTATGCATTTTAAAATTAGAACGCTTTTAAAAATAAATTGAATACTTTTTAGTTAATGAAAATTAGTAAGTTGCGGAATTCTCTAAACCAGTTTTCTAGAGCTTAAACCAATTAAAACCTATTTGCTGGTATAGCAAGACCACTGCAGTCTAATCTGATTACTAAACCTGACATCATAAAGCTCTGATGAGAACAATTTTAGTTACTATTTGCATTTCACTTAGGCTAAAATTATATTTTTTTGTTGGAGAAAATAACCTGACATGGCACATTAAGACCACTGAATTGTGCAGAAATTATACAATTGCAGTGCTGTACTGTAGGTTTTTCTCTGTAATAGTTATTACTCAGTTAAAATTTATTTTGGAGTGTACAAAATGTTTCTGCTTTATATTCTCTAATGATTAAATTAATAATAGATTTCCAAAAGTCAGAGCAGTGAATTAAGCACCCTGCAAATAGAATGCCCACAGAACTTTATTTGAAACCACCTAAAATATTCTGCTAATCTGGGATTTCAAATATTTATTTACAATTTACTAGCCTGAATACTAGTATGCAAAGCTTCTATCTAAAGTAAGTTTATGCACTTGCAGCCTGCTTGGGGCATTTCCTTGGAGTCATGCCTCAAGTGACCTATGGAAAGAAAACAATTGTGCTATGCTCAATGTATTTAACTGAAATGCACCTTGCAAATTCTGCTTGATTTTGAAAATGTGCCCCATGCATGGGGAAGATTGTTAAGCAATCCGATGAATAAATAAAGGTATTCCCTCAACAATAATCTTGGGGAGGAGTGTTAATAGTGATTCATCTAATGGACATATTTATTGGCACAATGTTCAGGTTTTTAATCAGCAATGCAATATCTTGGTAATACGTTTCATGTATTATTTCATGCTTTATAAACTTTTTATTATAATTAAACTGAGCCACAATGCTTTAACACAACAAAAACCTTCTGGGATAAATTCCTCTTAATATATGCATTTCTAAAATAGGCAAAAGTTGATTAAAATTTTATCCCTGACATTACATACAACATAAGCTTGCTTTATTAACAGTAAAGAAAAATGCTAAACAAATAAACAAACAAGATAAAATACCCCTCATAGTAATTACAATTTTTGAGCTTAGCAAATGCATCCTGAAAAAATGTTATTGAAAAACAATAAAATGACATTGCAAGATTTACAGGTAGTTCTCCATTTACAACCACAATTGAGCCCAAAATTTATGTTGCTAAGTGAGAAATGTGTTAAGTGAGTTCACGTGATGTTTCACGGTTTTTCTCCTGGGGTGGGCATGGCCTACACATGACGCATCTGGCTCATAGGCTGCCAGTTTGACACCCTTGTTATAGAGCAACAGTCAGTAAAATCCCAAGCTCTCTGAGACAACTCTGTTGATGTGGTATGCATTGCTTATTGTTCCAAAGCTGATCGGCACTCGCAGGGGTCCTACTGTTATCACCAGCATGGAACAAGAGGTAAGCACTGGGCACCATGCATGGACCTGTGACATAAGCCACAGTGAAGCAAGGCCTGGGATATAAAGCACACGAGCCCAATGTTAAGGACTAATATTCCAGGCCAGGAGCAGTAGATGGAGGACCCCAAAGGGCTCCTCCACCATCTGAGAAAGATGTCCCTCTCCTTCAACCATCTACAACATTCTAAAAACCACCAACTAACAATGGCCACTCTGCTAATACAACCAGCCTTGGTGCCATGTGTGTGTGAGTGGGAGGAGTACATTCATGCAAGATGACATATGTAAAGAATGGGTGGGACCTATGTTGTGACAATCCAACACGTATAATTTTCTCCCCTTACCACCAACCCCTTCACAGATGCCTTATTGCAAGTCAAACGTTAAAAATGTTTAAATATACCAACAATCGCAATAAATTCTAAAACTCTAGGTGTTTAGAAAAAGGTTCTGAAAAAAACCTCACCAAAGAAAAGTTGTAGCAGAATGAGGCAACAGATAGATTGTTCCTTTTATGCATTTGATAACTGGTTGCTAGAAGTAAAATGTGAACTAAACCAATAATTTCCCCAATAAATCAATAGAACATCGCACAAATATGAATTATAAATTTTGTGGTGCAAGTTATTCACAACTGATCTAGATAAGAAAGACAGAAATACCTGTAGTGAATTTCACTAGCAAGTACACTTCTAAAGATTCTGGAAATGCACACACTGTACCATGTACCAGCCTTTTGAGGAAAATCAGATCAGGAAACAAAACTAAATTTTCCTTAAATATCTTCAATTTGATCACAATAATTAAAGTAGGGTTTGACTGATCCAAATCAAAGTGAAACCATTATTTCTCATAAATTGAAAACCATGCTATTGATGCAGCTTAAAATAATGTTTGCCTGAATATGAGTCAGCAATGACTCATATTTCTGACTCAGTTTGTAATCAATAATTCTAAAATCTTTTTTCACAAGCACAATGGTTAATCCAAGTATGCCCTGTGCTGTGTCTGTACATTTGGTTTTTATTTGCATCTCTATTAAAATGGTATTTTGTTTTAGTAACGGTTAAATTGCTTTAATTTCTTAAAGCAAGAAAAGGGGTTGAATTTTTTCTCTCTCTACAAGGGAATCCCACCAAATTCCATGCACCTATTATGCACACTTTGATAACTGGATGATTCATTCCATGACTTCTTACAAATCATAAATAAAATGCTGGAAAGTAAAGGGTCCAAAAAAACCTTATAAAAAAAAAAAACTGAAAATCTCATTCCTTTCCACGGATGGCTTTCAGGATAGCTTTTTACCCATTTAATACTCCTGTGATCCAGGTTTCTAATCAGAATATCCTGTCAAATGCTTTCTAAAATTACTGCATATGCTTGTAGCTTACCCACAAGCTATTAAGAAAACTATGAATAAAAGAAATGAAATTAAGTTAATCTGGAATGATTTGTTCTTGAGAAATCCATACTGACTTCTGGTAATTGACATATTGTTTTCAAACTATTTATAGATCAGTAACTTGAATAACTGCTGTAAAATCTTAAATTTCAGTATCTGGTTCCTAGAATCATCCTTTCACCCCTTTCTGAAAATAGAAACAATAATAGTGAGCCTCCAGTTTAGCATTTCATTCATTCCAGTGACGTGCGGTGAGGTTTATGGCTGCTGAGGCAGTCCTCTCCCCCGACACCCACTGACTAAAGCACTTTCTTTCGCTCTTCTGTGCTTGCAGCAGAGCTCAGGCGGGCCATAAATGCTTTAGTCAGTGGGGTGTCGCAGGAGAGGAGAGAATGCCTAAGCATTGCATTTATTAAAGAAAAAAGAAAAAAAAAGGAAATTTGCAGGAAAAGAGGGAGTGTGGGGTGGGGGGCATCAGAAACAGAGAAAGAGAGGAAGAGTGAGTGCGATGCTGCAGCTTTAAACAGAATGACAGAGTTGAAGCCTCTAAAAAATGTGCCCTCTACCATGAGGCAGGAGAAATGCATGCCTCAACTACCTCGGGATTTTTCAGGCTTTTAACCCTTGCTTAACTCTGCTCGAGCGCCTAAAAAGTCAGACTAGATGAGGCATGCAGTTCTCCTGCATGCCTCATCTAGGGCACTTTTTAGAGGCGTTTTTTAAACAGGCAGTCATTCACGGTGTGGCAGGAGCTAGCTAGCCTAACCTCAGCACTCGCCTTTTCCTGTTTACATTTCTTTTCCTTTTCATGATTGACAGTGGTGAGGCTGTGCCTCCTCTGATTGCACGTCACTGATTCATTCACCAGAATCCTTCATGCCCTATCTTAGGATCCTTCATCACTATCCAAGGAGGCCACTTTTTCAGAAGAAATAGGAAATACCTATCAATCTTAACTTTAATGTTGTGCTTTCATCTTACATTTCATAATTGTCTGGAAGCATACATACCCTCTTACTGGAAAACACTAAGTGAAAATAAGTGCTAAGTAGTTTTGCTGATTACTATATTAAAGTTTTGCCATCTCAAACAAGTGTTTACTAAATAGGTAGTTCTCAACCATGACCATTCAGTCACTGGCCATTTTAAGTTACAATGATGCTGAACAAATTATGCCTTCACCAAAGCCCAATGTACAATCTCTCCTGCAGCCTGAGCCTGAGAACAGTGCCCAGTGATCAAAGTGTTCCTACAATAGCAACCATGGGCTTCCGGGGGAGTGGCTTGCCGTCGTCAGCAGCTTAACTGAGCTGCCCCCAGAGTTCTGGTTCGTATATCTA